CCCTCGACGCTTGCGTTGCGCGGCCCGGGACGTAACAGCCTCTCCCGCGGGCCAACCCTGATATGAATGTGATGGTGGCATTACGAAAGCGAATAAAGTTGATGAGCGAAAATAAAACATCATGAGGGGGACGCGGCCTTCCCCTGCTCCGCGTTCAAGGACCTCCAGTTGGGGGTAAAGTTGTTAGGCCTCATGGGAGGGAGTGGGGGGGGGGGGGGCGCTCCTAGGTCCAGGACCCGCCGAGCGAGGAGAGAGGGCGCGGGACAGGGACCGGGACCGGGGGGGGGGGGGGCAGCACAGCACAAACCTCCGCTGCGACGATGGCCGCTTGCACCGCCCCCAAGGTTACGGTCGCTGCCCCCGCCGAGACCCCGCAGAACGTCCCCCCCAATATGGGACCCCCTGGGGGATAACGTGGAGAGGGGGCAGGGTTGTCGAACGGGCGGGGGTTCGCCGGGGGGACTGCCCGCTCTAGGCCCTGGGAGCGTCGCGTCGTCGGGGGTGGAAATGGAATAAAGTCGCGTCGCTTAGCAGCAGGTTAGCAGTGCATCAGGCAGCGCCACGATCAAGCATTGCGCGAGGGCGTTCAGAGGGCCACACAGCCTGAAGACAACGTCGTGGCTGTGCAGAAGATGATGCTCTTCAGACACGCCTAAACATTGCGCCTTTCACATCCGCCTTCGTTTGGCGCCACCCTGTGCAACCCTAACGCGCCACTTCGACTCCTAAAAACTAAAAGGTTGAACTCCAGAGGGTATGCGCATCTATAGACCTCATAAGGTCGTACTTCAAAGGGTTTGTATTTAAGGTCGGATCTCGCTAAGGTCCTGGAAAATGGTCGTAAGTTTGTTTTTTTATTGATTTCATGAGATGCATATTATTGATAAGGGAATTTTCTCCGTTTTCTAATCATCTCGCTACCTCGCTAGATCGACAAAAAATAGACTTACGACCATTCTCCGGGACCCTAGCGAGATCCGACCCTACTCGCAAACCCTCTGAAGTATACGACCTTTTACTTGTCAGAGGTCGATTTGAAGTTTGGCTGCGGGGCCGAATCCAACTTGCAGTGAGACGCACCCCCTCAGTGACTGCTGCCCAGCCCGCCCCCTCCTCAGAGCCCCTCGCCCCCTACTCGGCGACGCGTCCCACCGCCTGTATTGGCGGATTGGTACAGGCGAGACGCTCTCGCTGAGGCTCGGCGGGGTGCGGCGGGGCGCGGCGGGGCGCGGTGGGGCGTGGCGGGGCGTGGCGGCGTGGTGACGCGGGCGGGGGGCGGCGCGGCGGCTGGCGGCCGGTGCAGCAGCAGCAGCCCGCCGGTTGG